CATTATAGTAGGTACCCCTAATTTCAGGAAACACCTGTATCTTGTCGCATCCTCACAGGCGCTACAGATCAAGCCACCAACTAGTAAGCAGCGCGAGAGCATGGTTGCAGGGATTAATGGAAAATAAAATGGAAACTACTATATTGGAAAGTCAAATGGAAAAGCAGATGGAAAATGAAATGGAAACTGGGACTATGTTATTTTCAGAGAGCATTGTTGCAACCCTGGCATGAGACGGGGCATGAGAGTGCTAACCAGGCTTCTGTCTTCCCTGCTATTGCTGCAGGGCCCCTTCGGCGACTATTGCTTGCGCCAGCTGGTAAGGCAACCGCGCAGGTCTTGCGTAGGAGTCTGGCCATCGCGCTCTGTTTGCACCTGTGTTGATTTCTTGTGCGCCCGTGCAATTCTGGGGCTGGACCCTTCATCATTTTTGAGAAAAGCGTGACTCGATGGCACGTGCGGTGAGTCTAAGGCACTTGATGAAAACTACGAGCTTGTGGGGTCGCAGTGCTCGTTGGTTCTGAGCTTGCACATCACATGACGATAAGCTATTTTGAGACTGCTGGCGTACCTTGAAGCATCATCGGGCCGCCCAGGCTAAAATGTCCGCCAAACTCATGAGAGGATGATGTTTCAAGCGCATCTACGCGCATGTCGAGGTCAGAACACGCAATCATCTCCCAGGGAGCAAGCATCTTTTGGTCTGCATTTGTTCGTCTGTTTCAGTCATTTCAGTCTGTGTTTCACAAGTGTCATTTTGAGGCACACGGCGTTAGACATGCAAGTTTAGGTTTCAGAAACGAAGCATCTGCAGAATGCTGACCTTCTTACAAAACCCAGGCATGCCAAAGTTTTGATTTCCGCCGAAGGTCATTCAAGATGGCCAGACATCGCAGTGAATCTGGCACATCAAATTTCATTCCTGCCATCATATGCAGACTTCCTTCATGTGGCGAGGATGTGCAGACGAGGTGAGGTTCTCGCTTGTGGCATGTTGCGTGATGCAGCTAGTTTGGCACAATTCAAGCAGAGATCCAGACGTTCCCGACGAAGCAGGCGGCCGTGTGGCACAGTTGTCACACCAGAAGTGGTAGCTTGTAGTAAACTTGCTACATCAATGAAAGATATCTTGCACAAAGCTTAGTACTTGTGTCAGAGCAAGGTCAGCATGGCAGTCTTTGCTTCAAACTGGATGAGCTTGGCAGTGGTCTTCCTCCGAGGCAAGTGCGGGGCTCGCCTTTCTCTGTTTGCCTCATGTAGCTGTTGGCTGGAGGGGGTGCGAGAGTGGTAGTACATGCATTCCTTCCAGAATGACAAAAAGCTCGTAGCCCCAGACCGAAGAAAGTGATGCACGTGTTTTTCTATCACAATAAAAAATCATTACTTCGTAACCCTGAGCCCCAAGTTTTTTCAAACCCTTAAACCTTCCTCCCCTGCACCCCAGGCATCCTGCAGGCATCCTGGCATCCTTAGCCCTAAGCTCTGAAACATGCTCCCATGACCTAAGCCCTTGCACTTTGTTGAGAGGTGCATCTGCATGGAAAGTCACCAAGGGGCTCAGCCCTGAGACTCCCGGGTTCTTAAGGCTTTGGGGTCAAGGTTTGCCAAGGGTTTCGAAAGTTTCAAGCCTAGGTTTGCCAAAGGTCTCAAGGGTTGAGGGTTTTAGAGATTTGTCGAGGCTGGGTAGTTTTGGGGGAAGGGTATGCGGATGCTGGAGGTATGTAGAGTCTCTGCCAAACTAGAGGGGTGGCCTTGGAGAATTTCGTAGCTCTCACTGTCGCAAGGTGCCAGTGGCTTAAAGGCTGCAACTTCAATCGAAACAGAGCGCAGACATTCGGCATCACTCGGCAATGCCGAACTATCGGTCTGCCAATCTGGAGATCCTTTCCCTCGCCCATGGGGTTCTCAACTTCTAGAAGTGATACTCTTGGTTCGGAGACATGTGGACATATTTAAGCCCGGAAGTCTATGACCCCAACTCATGTCCCACGGTGAGGTCATGCACGATTCAAGATGACGGCTGTGTTGCCAGCACCAATTTCCCGGACAATTATCCTTCTGGGGATACGTGTGCTATACACGTTGAGGCCGATAACAGGCGCAGGGCATGCATGCAGGGCTGTTGCGAACTGTTAATTAGGTGTGTGGGCTTGCTCTTTCTTCAGAGCGGTTTTTATTGTGGCAGGAGGCCCATCGAGGTTGTGGCCTTCTCTACGCATCATGGCGAGCTATACATCAACGATGTCAGCTACTCTGGAAAGAACGGGCCACAGGGCGTGGTGCCCGGTGGATCCATCTTCTGGAGCGCCGACGCTCAGCAGCAAAGTCGTTGTGGCCCAGGTTCTGTTGTTGAAGTGTGTGCTGAAGCTATTGTTTTGTGAGGGGCACATCTGGGCATCAGTCTCACGATCATCTGGGTTGAGCAACCGTGGAAGAAGCGGAGTGGAGTTCGCTCCCTGTGCACTCCAAGCAGAAAAGGGCAAGCACAGGGTTGCTGCAACATGGGTACCTGTTGAGAACATGGATGCTGGGCACCCTTGCTGTTTCTCATGATTGCCCGGCGCTCGCTTGTTTGGTGGGGCTTCTGGAGATGGCTGGCGAAGTCTGCAAGCGGCGCACGGTAGCATGTGACATCTTCCTCAACTTGTTTGCAACGGGTGTATGAGCGATCATAATAGGAAATTGAAAATTGCGAATCTTACTGCGGGATTGTTTGTACGGAACCTGTAGAAACCATGAAGAGGATTTGTCATCATCATACACTGAAGCCAAGTACCACTGTTTGTGTCTGTTGCCTGCAATCCCTGAGAGAAGAAAGTTGTCGGCCAGAGTCTTCGAATAGCGGAACTCTCATGGTGAAACCTTGGATAATCTGGTGTCCATCTCAACGTCATACCGAGATCACGAGCTGAAGGCCTCTACTCTTGACCTGGAATCTTCTCTTCTTGGAAGATCTTGCACATGGTTGCTACAACCTGGTCTGTGGACATGGTCATCAGAATCTCACATTCAAAAGGCTTTTGCGGGGGATGTTGTGGAAGTTTGCCAGGACAAAGACACATCCGGCCCCGGCTGGAAGCTGTGCCTCGGGGAGGAGGCCGTCCTTTCACCGGGTCTGGAGGCTCAAAGCATCGGGGCGGGCTGCGCATTCGTATGCTGGTTGCTGGGATATGGGAAATTGTGGATGCACTTGTAGGGTCCGTATACATGCGCTGTTGCCGTGTAGTGAGGACAATACTGTTCTTGAGGTATGTAGGTTGACTCCAATTCCGCAAAACATCCAGATGGCTGTCTGTGCAATTTGTGATTTGGATGTAGCCTTGATCTGAATAGACGTGTCCCGTGGGAACCATAAGCCCCAAAGCAGTCTTAACGCTTAATGCGGCTTGGTATTCTGTTGTGAACGTTCCAGTGGATGAGAAGCATTCCGCCAAGCAAATCAGGCACAGGATGGCATGTCGCGAAGCTGTTAAACGGTGATTCCCGACGTTCTGCTGTGATTGCTCGAGCGTCCAGTGCTTCAGAAGCATTGTCATCTATCGTGCTGTGCACAAGCGCTGGATGGGTTTTGTGGGCTTATTCGGAGGAGTTACTGGCTTCCGCCTCCGATGCTGCCAGCCACCTTCTTGTCTTGTCGTGCTGGGGCAGTAGTACGCCCACCTCCTGGTCTGGAGCGGGCTATGGCCGTGAAGCAGCGTCCAAAGCATGCATCACCTTCAAAGATGCGTCGTGATGCTGCTCGTGTGGCTGCACGTCGGGCATACCTCAGGGATAGTCCTGCAAGCTGCCCGGAGCAAGAACATGCTGAGTATGTTGAGGATCACGCTGGCCAGTCACTTGAAGAGCTCGTGGCAACTGTGCTGAAAAGTAGCGCGGGTGCCTTTGGTCGCTACTTTCAGACTTGGTCTGGCTTGTCCGCTTCTGGCTCCAAGCAAGGCAGGCAAAGGGATGTTTTCCCAGTTGGCAGCGTCAGCAAATGGGATTTTCCCGATGCCCCGGCAAATTGTGGTTCTTTCCCGGAGTCTACTTACCTCCTGCTGCTCAACGCTTGTCTGGCTGCTCTTAACTTCCTGGCGAGCGACTTTCGCCAGCTGCAGTGCTTGCCTGGGACCAGCCAACCGCACACAAAGGCGCAGCGTGCAGTGGTGGACCATGTGGCTCTGCGAGTGTGGCGTTTTCTGGGCGAAGTTGGCCAACATGTGTCTGTGATAAACTGGCGCGAGGCTTTCAATCGCTTTGAGGAGAGCTCGTTTGCGACTTTTCAACCTTTGCGAGCCGATGCCGTGGATCTCCCGCCTGTGGCAGGAACTTGTGACGCACAGCTCCTTTTACCTGAAGAGCTTGCTGCAACGGTTTTCTCTCCGGTGGAACTTTTTCCTGAAGAGTGTCCTCTTGAGCCCAAGTCCACCTTCGTTGCAGGCAAGGGCAGGCTTGAGTACTTAAAACTGGTGTGGCGGCAGCTGCAGTGTGGAAAGACGCGGCTGTGGCAAAGAGTTCAGGCCATTGGGGCTGTTTTCGCTGTTAGCAAGAGTCATGGCCGGCAGCGCGAAGTGTGGGATGGCTCAACCATCTCTGCCATGGCAGCCAAGCCGCCAGCACCAGAGTGCCTCGCTAACCCCAGCTGCTTTGTGGACCTAATGTTCAATCCTGGTCACGAGGTCTACATGTCGAAGAGGGACGTCCACACGTGCTTTGATGTCCTGCAAGCTCCAGTGGCAATTCAGCAATGGTTTGGGCGACCACCTGTGACGCTTCATGAGTTGGCACAAACTGCTTCGGTTGCCGTGGACGACCTTCAACACTTCGTGCAAGATAGCGATGGAAAACCGGTAGGGGCACATGAACAAGTTTTTCCGGCAAGCACGGTCTGGCCCATGGGGTTCAGCTTTTCGTCGTGTGTTGCTCAAGCTGCTACTCTGTCGTGTTGCAGGGAGGCAGGCATCAGTGAGGAGTCTTTTATGTCTTTGGACCGGCCGCCACCAGCTTTAGGAGAGGCCTGCGGTGTCGCCACGGATGACACTTTCTTCTTCCACACGGACAAGCTTTTAGGGCAGCAGCGCCTGGAGCGGCTTGATGCTGTGATGGCAGAAAAGGGCATGCCGAAAAACGTGTCCAAGGATGTCACGTTGGAGCAAGAGATGAAGGCTCTTGGTTGCCTGATTTCTGCTAAGACTGCTACAGTCGAGCCTGCATCTGAGAAGTTGGTGCCGCTTTTCCTGGCGTGGTTGGATGTGTTAACCAAGGGTGTTGCCAGTCCTCGCGGAGTACATCGGGCCCTTGGCGTGCATCAATGGTTTTGCCTCTTACAGCGGCCGCTTTTTAGCGTTTTCGACCAGATCTACCAGTTCATCCGCACGGAGCCTGCAGAAGTGCAGGTGGTCATGCCGGAGTCCATTCGTACTGAAATTGCAGTGGGTGCGTTCTTGATGCCCCTCCTTGGAGCAGACCTGTCACGCCAGTTCTTGCCAAAGTTGACAGCTTCGGACGCTGCGCCAGAATTTGGTTTTGGCGTTTCCTACATGTCGTGCAGCGCAGCGCAAGCAACGGTTGTGGGTTTCTTGGCCGAGCGCAGGGGTGATTTCATCAAGTTCTACCTCGAACCAGGGGAGCAAGAAGGCAAGGACCGATTGGGGACGCCACACACTTTGCCTTTCTCCAAGAAGTGCTTCAAGGTGGCAGTCAAAGCACGGGCGCAGTGGAAAGCTCACTCAGGGTCTCTCGAAGCACATGGACTACTGCTGGCTTTGAAATGGCTGTTGAGGTCGCACAAACATTTTCATCATCGTTTGGTTGTTCTGGTAGATGCAAAAGCTATCCTTGGGGCAGCTAGCAAAGGGAGAACTTCTGCTCCCGGCATACGTGGCGTTGTCCGTCACATTGGTAGTCTTTTGTTGGCCACCAACAGCTTGCTTCGCCTCGTGTATGTCCCCACGGAACACAATCCGGCTGATGCGCCTTCACGTGGCAAGCAGGTTTGCGGCAGACATCGCATCAGAAAGCAAATTAGCAAGCGTTGCTAAATCGCGACATGAGGTGGTTTTTTTGGTTTCACATGCTTTCAGATCATTTTGCTCACCTACACTCAGCTTCTGGCGTCCGGGAACATCGTGACTGCTCATCTCTTTCCTTGTTAGGTTGAGTTGCTTCAACCAGCTGCTGGTGAGGCTGGGTTCTGACGCTTGAAGTGTGGGTTGCCGCAGTCTGCACCAGCTGCGTTGCTCACGGCCAGGGCTGCCGCCTGGCCTGCTTGTTTGTTGTGCTGCATACTGCTCGAAACACGATTGTAGTCAACAGTCAAGCATCTTTTTTGACTGCGGCGTGCAATTGGCACGCCAGTCGCTTGGTGTGTGGGATATTTGATGCAGTTCTTTGCTGCTTCTGCTACAGTCTTCTGGTTCTCTTCCAGTGGGCTGCAGACATCTCTTATCAGGAGTGGCTGACAGTCTTGCAAGATTTCTCTAACATCAGCTGAGAAAAGCGGCGAATTCATTCCAGGGGTCTTCCATCATGTCAGCAAGACAAGGCAAGTGGTGACGACAGAATGAGGCTTGGTATTCTGTTGTGAACGTTCCAGTGGATGAGAAGCATTCCGCCAAGCAAATCAGGCACAGGATGGCATGTCGCGAAGCTGTTAAACGGTGATTCCCGACGTTCTGCTGTGATTGCTCGAGCGTCCAGTGCTTCAGAAGCATTGTCATCTATTGTGCTGTGCACAAGCCCAGCCCACCCGCCCGGGATATTTGATGCAGTTCTTTGCTGCTTCTGCTACAGTCTTCTGGTTCTCTTCCAGTGGGCTGCAGACATCTCTTATCAGGAGTGGCTGACAGTCTTGCAAGATTTCTCTTGTGATTTGGATGTAGCCTTGATCTGAATAGACGTGTCCCGTGGGAACCATAAGCCCCAAAGCAGTCTTAACGCCTAATGTGTGTTTGCGGCTCCAAACCACGCAGCATCTGGTGAAGATGCCCTATCTCGAATGATCCTGCATAACTTGGCTGTCATGCAGGTGGACCTTTGTGTAGTCCACCTGGCCAGAGCGAATTCTAACATCCTCCATTCCCATACACCTTCTACCTTTTGCAATAAAGCATTCTAAGCTCTGAAATCGAAGCCAGCAGAGAAAGGCGGGACGGTCTGTTGAATGCAGTACGGGTGGTATGGAGCCCGTTGAAATCCTCTTGGCCCATGATTTTCTCACAGTAGTGGAACGCAGCAGCTGAAGTGTCAGGCGTCGGCGTGGGCCCTGCTGAGTGGGCTGTGCTCTCAGCTGTATCGGTCTGTGAGAGCTTTTTCATGGCATGGATGGGGCGACTTAAGGATCGCCCTTAAATCAGTGTGTGATTGCTGGTGGTGGGAGTTCATTCTGAGAAGCTTTTACACGGATCACCGTCGCTAGAAGGGTTTTCGGCTTCTAAGCGTCAGAAGTCATAGAGAATGCAGGCGTTCGTTGGAACCAAGATCAGCGAAGGACAAAGATTGGAAGCCTCTCAAAACGACTAAGTCAAGGACCTATAGCGGTCCCATGCTGAGGTCATGCACGATTCAAGATGACGGCTGCGTTGCCAGCACCAATTTCCCGGACAATTATCCTTCTGGCGATGCGTGTGTCATACACGTTGAGGCCGATAATAGGCACAGGGCATGCATGCAGCGCTGTTGCGAACTGTTATGTAGGTGTGTGGGCTTGCCCTTTCTTGAAGGCTGTTTTTATTACGCGAAGCAAGCGCGCAGTACACTTTCTACCATTCATGCGGATGTGTGGGCTCTCCCTGTCTTTGCAGCTGTTGTTGGTTTGGCAGGCGGCTCATTGACGTGGTGGCCTTCTCTACAGGTTATGACGAGTTGCGCATCAACAATGTTGGCTACTCTGGCACCAAAGGGCCACAGGGCGTGGTGCCCCGTGGATCCATCTTCTGGAGTGCCGATGCTCAGCAGCAAAGTCGTTGTGGCCCAGGTCCTGTTGTTGAAGTGTGTGCTGAAGCTATTGTTTCTGTGAAGGGCACATCTGGGCATCAGTCTCACGATCATCTGGGTTGAGCAACTGGGGAAGGAGTCGCTGTAAAATATTCCCTGTGTAATCTATGCAGAAGCGGCAAGCACAGGGTCGACGCAACATACGTACCTGTTGATAACAGTAATGCCGTTAGCACTTTGGCTACTTTTTGTTTTATGCTTGCCTTGCGCCAACTTTGGGGGCTTTCATGATTACCTAGCGTAAGGCGTGCTTGCCTTTTCTCCTTCTCATTTTTACCTGTACGAGCCTGGGAGACTTGTACCGAGAACTTCAGACGGTCGATCAGTGATATCATCCCCCCCTCCATTATAATCTACAGCAATGCTAAGTCTTCAATCAACTTTCTGGGTGGGGCTTGTGGCCACACGGCTGATAAAGTTTGCAAGCAGCTGCGCCCAGCTTGGAGGGTGTAGGGTGATCATGGTAGAGAATCACCAGGAAGATGCTGGGATTCTGGGTGTTGAGGTCTTGGGGTTGAGGGTAGACTCTAGACTACCCATGTGAGCTGATGTCAACCATGTTTACCGGTGAATATGGAGGACAGACATAGGATTCTTTTCGGTGTTCGCTGTCATGTATAAGGATGTACATGGTATGCCGTGATGTCTGCAATTTTATCAAAACCATGCCGGTAGTTCAGGAACATGAGATGAGGGAGGATAGCAAGTCGGACGGATGCTTGCACGTGCCCCTGTTTGTATCTGATGCTTACATTCCTCTGGGGAAAGAGTGTTTTTGGCCGGAGTCTTCGAACTACATAAAGCTGTTGATGGAGCTTTGGAACATCTTGCATTATATCACAGAGCCACGCCGAGATCAAGAGCAAAATACCCCCCGCAACTCTTGACCTGCGGTCTTCTTGGAGCCTCTTGGGGAGGTGCTGCCACGGCTCCTTCAGAAATAGGAGTTTCCAAAAAAAGGTCTCCATAATAAAGATTATAATAATTTAGGGTCTGTATTGGGGTCCCCCTATTTTGGGGAACTACCAAACCAGAATAAAATCGAAGTTTGTGGCCTGCCAGGATATCCTCACATCCGGTCCGGGGTGGAAGCTGTGCCTCGCGGAGGAGGCCGCCCTTCCTCGGGCGCTGGAGGCTCAAAGCATCGGGGGTTGGAGGTGCAGAGTTGCGGGTTGCAACGCAGCGGAGTTTTTCATCAAATCATGGGCGCATTTTCTGTGATATTGTGTGTGGCTTGGGGCTTAGGGTTTTGGATGTATCCATGGAAGCCTAGATGCAGATGCTGGCTCTCCTATGTAGAGGTGGTCCACTCCAAACGTAATACTCGCCCATCCAGAAGTCCTCGATGCAGCTCCCCCAAAAAAGCAACCTGGTTCTGCCGAAAGTTTCCGAAGCACTCTGCCGCTTACACCTTGAAGTTGTCTGGGTTGCTGTTAAGGAACTTAAATTAAGTTACCATAATGGGTACACATAGTAAATAATAGGCTTTCCCCATATAGTAACTTAATTTAAGCTCCTTCATCCCTATATTCCGCCAGTTTCCATTTCATTTTCCATTTTCTTTTCCATTTGATTCTCCATTATAGGGGGATAATCCCTTAATTTAAGTTCCTTAACAGCAACCCAGGTTGTGTGCTGTAAAAGTACGGCTCCTATGAGGTCGTTTCGCGCCACAAGTTGCAATTCAACGTGGCGGGGTGTAAAAGTCTAGGAACCTCACCCTTACCTACTACCTTTTGCAGTGTAGGGTAGGTGCGTCGTCACTATTTTCAATATGCTTTGGCTCAAGGCTCAAGTTCCCCTGTTTAGCTATCTTGGCAGCGGGCAAACATAGAGCGGAGCCATATCGCATTGGTAGCTGATTGAGATCTGAGCTTGGACCGCAAGGACGAAAACATTCGAAAACGTTGGAGTGCTCTGGGAAAGCTACAGTTGGTGAAGTACATATACATTCCATATCACCCCGGCACCCTTTTACACAAACGCCCCAAACCAGAGCACCAGGATAGAGCAGGGGACCGGGTATCATGTGGGTGAGCGGGGAGGGCAGGACAGCGGAGTATTATTTGAGACCATGCCCATCGTTGATTCCTCCCGCCTGCCAGTGGGGTTTCGAAACTACCCTTTCTACCTGGCACGGGGAAGTTCTCCATCTCTCCATGACCTGAATTCAGCCAGAGGTCTTACCGCAGTCAGCAGAGTTTGCAACAATTACTGATCGCGGTAGCATAGCTCTGAGAGGCCACCACCAACACATCAGTTTGGACCCTGCTGAGTGGGCCGTGCTCTCAGCTGAAAGAAACTGTGAGTGTTTGGGGGATGATTCAAGCACCAAAGCAACACGAGGCAAAAACCTTGCTCAGGGACATCTATAGCGTCAGATTCAAGGAGTGAGATGAGTCTTATCCACAAAATTGTGAGACCTTGAACCCCAAATCTTAGACAATCCTGCATAAAATTTCTGCGTTTTAGGGTTGGACACATAGTGCTGCGGAACTTCAGAACAACCTTGGTGTTGAGAGCTGGACTTGGAGTCATCCGCAAGCAGTGAGGGAGCCATGGCTGTTGATTAGGAGATAACGGATTGAGTCTGGGGAGCAGGGTATGGGATCAAGATGTTTTTTTGGGGGCAAGGGGTAGCGAAGGTGTGAATGGAATTTCGGCGATTCGTTTGACAGCCTTTTCCTCGTTCCTGCTTCACAGACCGAACTGTTGCGTGGGAGTTTAGGGCTCAAGGAGTGATGTTCGCTGGACTCGTCGGCAGTCTTCATGCATTGTTCTTCTAAAGTCTATTAGCTTCCCGTAAGGCCTCCTCGAGTATCCAAGAAAAGGGTGGGGTATAATCACTGGGGCATAGGGATCGCTAAGTTAAGATCAACTTGTAGGGTCCAAGAGGTGCCCTTGGTCTGTTTGAAACGGGGATCGTTATTTACGGCCCCCGGGATCTTGTTTTTGGAATTTGCCATTTCTTCTTCACAGCACAGATGCCTGAACGAAAAGTTGGGTGAGAGCCTTGAAGCATGACATACCTTCGCCGACAGGGTCC